TGAATTAGACAACCAGGAAGCTGCCAGAAACTCAGCCCTTTAGAAGCAGCACAGAAAAATCACAGTTTCTGGGCAGCCCCGTCTACCATCACCCAGGAGCAAATTTAGCACCAGCCAAGGTGCTCACGTTTGAAATCCCATCTGCCAGAAGAAAGGTTACCACTATAGAATGTCAAGTTCGAAGATAGAATCACTTTTTAACAGGAGAGTTTAAAAAAATTACATGAAAAAAGAAAAAAGAAAGAAAGAAAAAGGAAGAAAAAAGAAAAACCACCACCACCATCAGAAAAGCTGTTCCCTCTGGTCAAAATAGCACCGTGCTCATCTGAAATAACCCACCGAGACACTCATTTGCTTCTTTTGGCTGGTCTGTGCTTTCTCAATTTTCTACAGTGAATTCAGGTATTAATAAAAGAAATTTCAAGACCCCCAACAGCAAAAGCAGCCCTAGATGAGATGTTGCTCATTTTTCTTCTAGCATGCAAAGACAGAGCCCATCTTCGGGAAGCAATTTCTGTCAAGTTGAGAAACCGCAATTTTGGGATACCCAGAAAAGACTGCTGGGTTCCTTAAATAAATTCTCAACACCTGTTTCTAGCTCCTTCTGCAGAAAAGGCCCGCAGGGTGTGCGTTCTAAAGACTTGCAGAAGCAGGTGGAATGGGGTCACCCACTGGCCAGACTCACAAGAGAGTCCAGGGGTCTGGATAATTGTTTGTCTTATTCGCAGAGCTGCTGCTACAAATCTCCCCGCACCCACTGTGCCCCTCCGCTCCCTGTCCCCACCTCATCGCCTAATGCCAACCCATCTCATGTCATTGCCTAATGCCAACCCATCTCGTGGGCCTGGGCCACGCCAAGCCCTGTCTGCTCACGCTCCGCACCCCGGCGGCAATTCCATTACAGTGAAGTTTCCAAAGTTAGGATTCCGCCAACAGGGCTGATAGCTTATTTACTGCTGTCATCTATAGAAAGAGGAATTTTGACACATTGTTAAATGATAGCACATTTAGATAAGTCAAGCTGTCAGAGGCTCTAATGGATGTCTAAACTCTCTGTGGCTGATATGTAAAATTTATGCACTTCAGAATATCATAAGGTTATAATATTTTAATCACATCCATGCTCTTTTCTAAACTTTGAACAGGGAAAAACATTCAATCAAGCACCATCTTGCTCCCCCGTGCCAAGAGATCAAACCTTCCCAGAAGTTTCTCCAAACTCCTTAGAAAAGTCCAGCCTTTCTTGCTCGTTCTGCTCATCTTCCTCCCAATTGCTTACACCCCAGGCCGAATCTGCCTCTTCCTCCAAAACTCACCTATGTGGTCTGACCAGCCAGGCTCTTTCCTCCCCAGAAACACAGGTGTGCATTTAGACCGAGCACCCTCATTTGGACTGGGTGCCCTCAACTCTTTTTAGCTTAATTAACCCTCTTCGAGGGGGGAAAATAGATAGCATGGGAGACCGAACCCAGAGCATCATAAAAAAAGTGGCAAAGTTAAGCAGAAAAAGAAAATCATAAAGGTATGAATCCGGTTATGACGATTATACACAGAAAAGCCATAAAAAAATACTGCATTAGTAATGTTCACCATAAAGCAATCTTATAACCAAATGAAATATGCCCAGCATTATCTTTGGATGGAATTTTATTTCTTCTCGTTCCTGAGCTGCTAGCAGTAGAGGCAAAAGAGAAGAAAAGACGGGGGAAGCAGTTTCAGGGGTGCGAGCATAGGGTACTGCATTTCAGATCATCTTCACCATTAGCCCACAAGTCATTAAGGTTGTTGACTGACTTCCAGCCTAGGAAGACAGTCCTGCTGCATTCAGAGACGGCGCTGGGAGGAATAGTAACTGGACCACTTCCATTTCTGAAAAATATATATTTCCGGAGGGCTGTATGCCAGGCTGGCACAAGGTCACCTTTCTTGCCAGGATCAGTGTGGCGTCAGCAACATGGTGTGGCCTGGGGACACAGGGCTGCCTTTGCTGCCTCGGCCACTTTAATGCTCAGCAACCAGGCTATGAGAAACCATTCAACCTGAACAACCAGGAATTAAAGCCACACACCTCGTCACAGGCAGCTCAGCCCTGAGTTGAGTGGGCCCAACGTCCTGGGCCTGCATGGGGCCTGGGACGGGGACTTGCCTCTTCTGCCTGTATGTCAGAACAAGCCAGCAGAAGTTTTCCTTTCTGGTTATGTCCCCTACAAGAGGAAAGCGGGGAGGAGGAAAAATGAAAATAAAAGTGTGGCATATGAGTCATTAGCATTACGTACAAGAGAGGATCCCGGGGCGAAAGTGCTTAGGCTCATAATCCGTTTCCAACAAAAATGCCATCAGTGAGAATATGGGGGTGGGGGGGAGTTTGGGGCCTGTTGGGCAGGGGAACAACTGAAAATTTCCGGATGGGGGTGGGGAATGTGCAGATGTGAGGGCCTAAATGTTTGCACGCGGCCACGGCTGCCACATTTATTTCTCTGCTCTCTAGAAGTGTGCAGCCTTTCAAACTCCCCCAGGGACACCCCCTCCACTTAATATCGATGTAAATGAGCTCACCCCCCTTCCCTGAGAGCCTTCTCGTTTTTTGTGCCAGACACACCAGCCATTGTCTTAATGAACAAGCCCCCTCCCCATGTACACACTGTGGGAGGAGAGGTCTTAGTCCCGTTTCCCCATCACCTGAACAAACCTCTCCACCACCCCCCTACCTTCATCCTTTCCAGTTCAAATTTGCTTTTCCATCTCAGCATAGTCTAAAACCCTAACAAAGGGTTCCCAGATCAATAGGAGTCCAGCTGGAATGAAGATTTGGGTGACCTTAACAGCTCCACAAAAGACCCCTGAGCACAAGACTGAAGAGAGTGAGGTTCAAACCCCTCCCCAGCTCAGAAATCGCCCCCTGGGAGCCGCACCCACCCTTCGGCACCCAGCTCCAGCCTCTCCCCCGCTGCAGGCAGAGCTCCCCGGATTGAAAACGAGTTATCTAATGAAAATTGTGTTAACTGACATTCCGGCCGACTGGGAGCAAATACCAGCGCTGTAAATCTCACCGCGGAAATTTTCTCCAGCCCAGAATAACAATAGGACCCTGCAAAGGGCTTTCGCCAGCCCTTCTGGTTCCTCTCCTCTTGTCTGCCACGTTCTTGTCATTCCTTATGTTACAGAACATCAATCATAAATAAAGACGCTGTCCCCCAGCCGTGCCCGGGTCTCATTTACAAACATTAGCAGGGAATACGATTACCATTGGCCTTCGTGCCAAGCCCAATGTGGCTGCCCAACTCTCTCTCTCTCTCTCTCTCTCTCTCCAACCCCCACTCTTCCAGAAAGGCCACTTTAGCATCATTTAAACCGGCAAGCACAGCTCGCAGCCCTGCCCGTCTCAGCTGGCCACCAAACTGTAGCCCCAACTCGAGTGAGGACCTGGAATTGCAAGGCACTCGGCAGTTATTAACTGCATGCCTGAGTGCCCCGATTTTCTCCCTCGCTCAATGGCTTTGGGGGAGGGGGCGAGCGAGGAGCAGGGGCGTTACGAAGGACAGGGACTGGGAAGCGGCCAGGACGAGGGAAAGAGGGGCTGCTGGAACCACTTATCAGAAGAAACTTAACGAGATTTGCAGGCGGATTAAAAAAAAAAGTGGGTCCCTTTTTATCTCCAGACTGATGCTCTCGCATCTTCCGCGAATGTCACGGCCAAGGCAGGATGCTCTAATCGCCCGGTTATCAGCACCATTTCCCCGCCTCTATTCCCGCTGCACCGGCCGACTTTGCGAGACTCCAGGGCTTGGGGGGCTTGCCAGCAGCGACCTGGGCACCCCCGGAAAGAGCAGAGGCCGCAGCTGTGCCTCCAGAGCGCATTCCCTGAGGTTCCGCCTCCCAGCCCCCGCTCTTCGGAGTCGGCAGAGAACACCCCCAAATCTGGAGGAGACACATAGACTCCTAGAAAGGGGGAGTTGGGAAGAAAGTGCTGGGGTTTGGGAAAGAGTCGCCCTAGGGAAGAAGAGGGAAAGAGGAGAGATGAGGGGAGATAGAGAAGAAAAGCAGAGATGGAGAGAGAAAAGAGGGGAGCGGCGGGGAGGAAAAGCAGGGGCAGAACAGACCGAGGAAATCTCTCATTTAAAAGTTCCCATGGGCCCGAGGGCCGGGAGTCACCTGCTCCGTGCGGCTCCCGGCGCTCCACCGCCCGGGAGACAGGAGCGCAAACTTGCGCGCGCCCGGGCCCATCTCCACAGCCCGTCTGCATCTAGACTTGAGAAGGGGATGGAAGCGGGGGGAAGGCAAGAAGCAAAAACGAACCCCGAGACCCCGGCCCGAGGAGGAGAGGTCTGCCGGCGCGGGCGGCCAGTCCGGCGGCGGCGGCGGCTCGGGCGGCGGTGGCGGCCCCCGGGTGGCGGCGCGTCCGAGCTGCGCAGCCAGGCGGGCGGCGGCGGCGGAGGTGCCGGCGGGCGGCGGGGCGCGGAGCCGCCTCCTCGCCAACCCCGGCTGCCTCCTCCTCTCTCCTCCTCCTCCTCCTCCTCTACCTCCTCCCCCTGCCCGCCAGCTCCCTCCCTCCCTCGCCCGAGCCCCAGCCGGGTGCGGACGGGCTAGGGGCGCGCTCCGCGGCCTCCCCGGGCGTCGCGAAGTTGGGAGGCGCGCAAAGTGCGGCGCAAGGGGGGATACCGGGGGTCCCGCCTGCAGCCCCCTGCCCCGGGCCACGGCCCCTGCCTTCCCCGCGCCTCGCCCGGCCGCTCGCCCGCCGGCTTGCTCCCCCGGCCGAGGGCTCACTAGCGCTTCTCCATGGTCGCGGCGGCTAATCGATGATTGAACCGAACAAAGAGCAGCGGCGAGATCAATTCCTAATACCTATCGATGGGCAGCGGGCAGCCAAGCCCCGGCGAGCCCCGGCAGCCGCCGCCCGCCGCCCCGGGGCGCTCGCCCGCCCGCCCGGGGACCTCCCCAATGCGCCCAGGGCGCGCCCGGGGGCTCCCCACGGCCGCACGGCCGGCGCTGCCCGCACTAACCTGGAGTCGCCGTAGATCAAATCGCTTCCAATATTGAAACATCGATCCCACATTGGCGGCCATCTTGGGGGCTATTCGAGACGCGCACACACAAGAGTTTGGCTTTTCTCAATGGCTGCACTCAATATCCGGGCTGGACTCCCCCCAGCCCCGGGGCCGCCGGCGGCCGCCGGGGCCCTGCGTGCCGCGGCCCGGGGCCCCTCGGGCGCCCCCCGGCCTCCTGCCACCCGCT